CACAAAAATAAAACAGCTGGTCTCATCTTGTAGGGGTTTCTGATGCAGATGCTAGGTTGAATGTGTATGTCAGTAAGGATGAGGAAATTAATGCCTCAGAGGCATTAGGAAAGACATGCTGATCAAAATGTTCTTTCCTACAAGCTTTCATAACAGCTGCATCAGTTGGGAGACTGCAATTGAAATATTCTTGTGTAAGTCAGTAAATTATTACCAACTGGCAAGTGTAACACTGAGTTGAGATAGCAGTATTGTTATCTACTGTGCTGAATCTACCCCCTTTGTCCTCCCACTGGCATTACCCCATCGATATCCTGATGGTCAGCAGGAGGCAATGGAAGCAGCACAGTAAATGTGGTCCATTAACATCTGCTTTGTGAAGTGCAACAGTGTAATATGGACAAGGCAACTGAAGCCATGAGAGGCTTCTCCTCTAAGAAGGCTGGATAGGCTTCACCTGGACATTGAAATAAAAACTTATTTTATTGGAATCGATTTGAACAGTGAGAATGCTCTCCTGTGTTTGAAAATTATTCTTACTCTTTTTATGGTTTTAAAAATTAACTGTTAAATAATGCATATTAATTTAAAAAAACCCTAAATGAACAAATTAATTTATCATTTTTAAAGCTGGCTGGCTAAGTGAATCACAGAATTCTGAATGTAATTGAAAAAAATTTTAGTTCCTTTTAGTGGAATTGTTTTTAGAGCAACTTTACCCCTATTGCTATTTGAATAAGTAAACAAAAACATGCTGTTCCTATGTCCTAAGCATGCTGTTACCCAGCTAGCTTTCAGCATATTGCACTTGGCTACAAAAGGCTGCACACAAAAAAATCCAGAAATATTTGCAGGATAAGCCAAAAACACTCCCAGAATTTCCCTGTGTTTGTCACAGTGTTTTAGCTTAAAAAGTAAGTTATCTGTTCTCTTCAAATGTAGGAGGTTTGAAGCCTGCTCTCCAGCAGATTTGCCTGTGCAGCATGGCAGCCCCTTTTGCATCACTACCTTGCCTCTTGGAAGGGGGAAGAGCAATGCAAGGGAAACTAAAGCTGCTTTCTGCTGATGGCTGCTGGTTGACCCATAACCCACTTCACACTACATTTTTTTCTTTTACAGGTAGGGCAGAAAACATTCAGGACCATTTGAAAAATAAACAAGCTTTAATAAAATATTACTCAGATGTGAATCAGGAATCTGTCGATAAAGAAACCAGTTTCTGTCACCTGTCATAAAGTTAGAAGCATTAGTCTTAGAGCAATTAAATGGTAGATAATACCATTCTATGTTTCCTTATCGTTTTAAATTTCAAGCCTTGAGAAGGTAAGATGAGGCTTCAAGCCTTTGTGCAGACATGTATTCATCCCCCAAGGGTAGTGCAGGGTGCCTTTACTCAGGAGACCCGAAAGCACGCTTGGGTGAATGCACATGCACAGGAGGCCTCTCATGCTTTGCAGGCCCATGGCTGAATCCTCATACCTGGTACAGCATTTGGGTGGTTTTACAGCAGGAGAGCCTGGGGAGAAGGTGGGTTGGTTGGTTGGTTTGTGCTGACCTGCTTGCCCTTGAAGGGGTGATGCATCAAACATTCTCATACCAAATGCTGTCAGTGGCACAAAGAGGGGCCATGCTCTGATGCTGTTTTTCCCCCCTACCAGCATCACCAGCCTCATTTCAGCTCCAGCCCCTCCTGAAGACGATGTGCTGCCTGTGTGGGTGAGCACAGCTGCAAGCCAGCCTGCACCCATGGTCCTCTGGGCACCCCATGGCTCCTGACAGAAGCCTGACTCACAAATGTACTTCTCATGTCATACTAAACATGTCTTGCCATACTAAAAAGGCCACTGGAAACCCATGAAGCACCGTGCTCAGGCACTGCCCTATGGGAAGAGGAAACCAAGCCCTTGCAGTATCAGATATCAAAATGCAAGGCCATGTATAATCAATGTAATATTTACCAAAATATCTTGCTATGCAGAGCAAGTTTCTGATGTACTTTTAGCTTGCTCTGGTTTAGGCCTCTGTCTGTACATGCTTAACTCTGAGAGAAAAAAGCGAATGAATGGGGGAGAAAAAACCACCTTGCACAAGCACGGGGTGAAAAAAAAAATTATCTGTAAGATTTTGTGTTGCATAAGTGCCCCTGGAAATAATCTGGTACATCTCCAAATAAAACAGAAGTCTTTTATGCTTGTAAGTTTCTGTGTGGAATGACAGTAGTTTCTGTGTTGGTTAACTCTGTAAATGTTTGCCGTAGATACTATCAATGGCAATATTTTATTTAAAGAAGTGTATTAAAGTTTAAAGCAAAGAAACTCCTCCCTCAGCCTGTGAACACAACAACTACAACAATTAGGTAGTAAAAACTGAATTGAAAGTAGTCTTAGGTGTTAAGGTCTTAGGTGTTTTACAGGTGAGCTGGAACAAAAACATGTCCAGGGGCACAGGATACCCTGGGTTGGATGAGGAGCTCTCACTGGAAGCCCCAGCAGTCAGCAAGCACCAGCCAGAGTTTTGTCTAAGGTACAGCCAGTTATTGCCAAATGACTGGTTTTCTGTGTCGTGGAGGTGTGAAGACTTGATGGTGGCTCACCATCTTCTTTTACTTGGTATCATGTGCTGCTTTGGAGAACAGGATAAAGATCCCCTGCACTGCCCTCAGGCTTTGATCCCCAATTCAGCTGTCTTTAGCTTGTTCATTTCCTCAAGAGTTGGTACCGGCAAGGGTGTTGATGATGAGCAGGATAAGCTGCTAACACCATCCCTTTCTGCACAGCACAGTAAGCCTCATCATTCAGAAGGAAGAATAAAAACATAATGCTATGAAAAGTTGTAGAACCATGGAAATGGTTAGGTCTCCCCAGACTAGAACAACATTATAGCCTATATTTGGTGTCAGATTCCTCTTTGGACTAAAGTAGCCCAAACTTCTGGTCCACAGTCAAGTGAATATGGAAGAGAAACTGGAATGGCTGTGCAAAGGCTTGCTTCCAAGTACAACTAATTCAAATTTATTATTCCCATGCTGTGAAAAATTCCAACATTTACTCAAGTTTTTCTTCTGGTGGGAAATTTCAAAATGTCTACATTTCATTTCACTTTTTTCACCAAAAAAAAAAGCCTGCTAGCAGGAAGCCTAGCAGGTTGCCAAAAGCAAGTCATTTGACATACAAAGTTTTTTTAAAGCTCCTGTCCAGCCAAAAGTTTGTTAAACCATGTTTCCATAGGACAATTGTAGTGATGAATCTTTGTTTTCCAGTGAAACATTGTTGCACTAGCTAGCTGGAGTGCAGATCTTTGTAAAATACATGCATTTAAATGTGTCTAAAAAGTTTACTGTATGTGCTTGGACCAAGGACTTCAGTGGCATGCCAGAAGAGATATCCCAGATTAACAGCAGCAAGGCAGGAGGTTTGAAATGTGGAAGCTTGTAATTACTAAAAGGAGACGAATTGTCCTCTTGTTCAACTCATATTAGGTATTGATCTGCCTATACTTATTTTATATCAATAAAGAGAGGATATTTCTGCCAAAATTTCCAAAGATTCTGAAAGATGATGCACTCAATAGGTTGAAAGACATACCGACATCTAGTTTTGAATGTCATTAGAAACTGGCTAATTTTAAAAGCATTTTTTGATCTGATGCCATATGATGGTCTGATGTTCCAGGAATTGCTAGTGTCCATGAAAAAGTGAGGAGGCCATGGAATAATAATTTTCTATCCCAGGTTACATATATGACTTATACAACCACATATTTTAAGCATTTCATCACAGTCTCTTGATCCCTTTCTGAAGCCCTTTATGTCAGTAAGAAGCAGAGCTTGCCTTCACCTCCAGAAAGGAGCCTCTGCTCACAAGTGGTGGGTACTTTACCTTCTTCCCTTAGAGTCAGCAATATTTGGACTGTAGCTGCAGAGGGGTGATTGAGGGAACCATAGGGACTGTAGTTTCTCCTATCTTTGGCTTCATTTCCAGAGATGCCACTATTGCCTCTGTTCCCTTGGCTATAGGATGCCAAAGGTTGTAGATCCAAATATTAGTGACCAGATCTGGAAATGTTGCTCTGAGCATGCCATTACAGCATACCCTTGTACTTTGGCTGGCTGTAACAGGGAGATGGGAGAGGAGGGCAGTGGAATGAGGGTAATGAGGTTTTCAGTTTACAACAGATATTTGTATATAAAGGTTCAACTTAATACACTGTAGGAAGGCCATTCATCAACAGTACCACGGCACCTAACCAGCCTCCAAACTGTAAAAACGCTTATTTTACCTGTTAAATTCCATAGTATTACACTTTGTTTATTTGTATGTTCTGCAAAGTGTTAAAGAGTGCAAAAGTATTACTCTTGTTTGCATAGGAAACAAACCAAAACAAGTCCTTTCCTGAGTGTGTTTTCTTTGCCTGGTCAGGCACTCCAGGTGAGGGCATGTGCTCCTTTCATATCTTGATTACAGCACTTCTAAAGAAAGCAACATGCATAGTCCTGCAACTTTGGAGGGATTAAGGCCACTACAGGTGAGTCCTATTCTGTTGCTTGTCAAACGGCTAAATGGAGCCATGTAATGGGTCATTTGTCTGGTGTCAGCAGCTGAAACTTGCATGAGAAAAAGCTGTTCTAGCAGTGACAAAAGGAAGCCTGTCACGAATGTGTAAAACATGCATGTAACCCAAAACCTTGTATTTCTATTACTGTTAAGAGTGTTGGTCCAAGAACCAAATGAAGTCATGAATGTTGTTTTGGCGATATCTAGCTTAGGACACTTCAGTGCTTAAAACTGATCTATATAAAAATTAAACAGCACAAAAGCGTTTTAAAGTTTTGTAATGCCAGCGTCAGGTCAGCAGGGTGTGAGTGGTGTTACTGCGTCTCTGCATATCCCGGGTATGTCAAATACACACGGTTCTGTGGCACTCTGGCAATATCCTTTCCACACCACAGAGATACATTACCTGTTGTTGACCCAGACGATGACAGCAGCCAACACAGATAACCGCTGTCATTCCCACTGCTGATGGGGAGTTGTCACTGAGATGCTGCCAACCAGACTTGCAGAGGAAGTTTGCTGCGATGTTGAGATCCCCAGTCACTTGACCGGTAGCTCAATATACACGTTGTTCAGAGCTATTATCTTGCAGCTTTACACAGTTCAAATGAAGTGCATTGCAACTATGTTAGAAGTGTATTTTGACAAAATCTTTCAACGTGAAGCATAGTTTAATCCACGTAAGATTAAAAATATTTCCAAAATATAAAAAAAAAACTATAAAAAAGAGGGGAAAAAAATAAAAAACTCACCAAGAAAGTAAGAGATGCACTTTTTTCTCGTTCAAGGACAAGCTTTTGTTACCCACACGGATGGTAGGGAAAAGTAGCTCCTTTTCTCTCGAGCTGCTGTGAGCCACCATGCTGCAGGAGAGGTGTATTGCTAGGGAAGATGTACATAGGTGATGTGGGCTGCCCAGTGTTTAGCTTCATCCCACGGTGTGCAGAAAAAGGTGAAGTATGAGTCTCTCCTAGCTGTCCTGTGTGGCTGGCTGTACTGCACAGAGTAGCTCTGTCATCTGGAAAGGGAAGCCTTTTCCAATCAATAATCCACCCCAAAGCTGCCACGCTTACTGAAATCATGTATGCTCCCTTACCTTGAAGGATTTTGAACTTCATCCTGAAGACCAGCATAGCAAATGTCTCCCAGTCACTCTCCAAATGCTCTGCTTGCACACTCCTGGGAGCTTTGCACTTGCTCTTTATAGCAGCACTGAAAGTCAGCAAGGTCCTGGGGGAACGACAAGAACCAAGCAGCTCTTGTCCAGCAACAGTGTTTGGGAACCGTAAGAAAAGATCCAATTTTATCTTAGTTCTCATGAAAAGTGTCACAGGATGTTTAATGTCCTTTCTGAGGAAAGACCTGCTGTTTTCCAGATCTTGCCTGAAAACACATGCAGTATTCAGCAAGCCACTTAGTTTATCTGTCTTGGAAAAACAGAAGGCTGCTGGAATTTGAAACTTGTTCCAAGAGTCTAGGGTCCAAATCTCTGTGAGTCCTTCCCCTCGTCTGGGGTTTTGAACTGAGTTTGAAAATTTAAAGACTAGCAAGCAATGGCAGCAGGACTCCTAATGGTGTATGGGTGTGCAGGGCTGGTGTATGTGATAGCGGGCCATCCCTATGCTGAAGTTTTGGTGTTATTTCCATTGGTGTTATTTCCACTCTCGAGTGTTGCCTGACTTTGCAACAGGTTAAAAATACCTTATGAAATGCCTGAGAGCACTGATCCACAAATCCCAGAACAGACTTTGCCTCGATGGGGGGGGAGGGAAGCCCTCTTAATGCGGTGAAAGCACCCGTGGCACTGGTGAGACGCGCTTTTCGCTTTTCTTGTCGGTGAAGGTACCACGAAGGAGGGACTCCGATAGCAGCTTGACGGAGCCGGGCGAGGGGAAGAGCCGTGCCGAGCCCACCGGGGAGGGGAACCGGTCGATCAGGTAGGCGGCCAAGGCGGCCGGGGAAGCTCTGGGGTGGGGGCTGAGCCGAACCCGAGCCCTTCCCGGCCCGCCGCGCTGGGGGCCGCGGTCCCCGCCGCGCCGGCATCACCCGCCCCCGCCCCGGGCCCGCGGAGACCACCGCCCCCGCGGGGCGCACCGGCGGGCCGCGGGGCTCCTGCCGGGGCCGCAGCCTGCAGTAGGCTGGCCGCGGGGGCCGCCGGGGTCTCGTCCCCGGGAAAAAGCGAGGAGGGAGACGGGGAGCGACCCCGCGGGGAAGCGCGGGCCCGGGGCGTCGAGCGGGGCGGCAAGCGCGGGCGGCAGCGCTCGCGGTGGGGCCTTCAGCCGGGTCGCTCCCATGCCCATGCCATTAGAACTGCGGAAACATTGGAAAATAAATAACAATAATCTAAATGCCACTGTTAAATATGAAACTGTATAATATGTGGATACTCATATATAATACTATATATATATATAAACTGTTGGTCAGGTGAGATGCTGGTCAGTTAAAGACTAAACAGCGTTTCAAGTTGCTAGAGGGTATGAGGAAACTCAATCATCTTTTATTTCTGTTGCATAAGCAGAATAAATGTACCTGTTCAGAGGCGGGTGTGAGAGGCTGTGCTGTGCCTCGTCGCCGTCTCGGTGCGTGCGGACTCGCGGCTGTCACCGGGCCCCCCGTGGCTGTGCGTGTGTGCGAGCGGTTCCCAAAAGAGCTCCAAAAACCCAGGCGCAGACTGCTCAGTGACAGGCTAGAGAGCTGGCCTGTGGCCTTCCCCAGGAATAGTCAGCTGTGGAAGTAGTTAATTACAGTGATCCTTATCCTGAATGGCCTTGATATTTCTTCTGGGATATTAATATAGTTCGTTTCCAGGAGAATTCTTAGTCCCTTGTAGGACTTAGCCAGGTGTGCAGTAATAGGCTCAGGCTAAATGGTATTGTTGGCATGTCTTGCAGGAAATTTTGTGTCCACAGGCTAAGTTCAGGGAAACTATCCAATGAAAAAAAAAGCCCAAAGATACGAGTATTATCCTTATTTAGAACTTTGTGATAATTTGCCATTCATTTATTGACCTGTTCTGTTTAATATCTCTAGGAGTAAGTCATTAATTAGGTATTTGGGATGAATTTGGGTTTGTGTGATTTCTGACTGAAATGATTTCATTAAGTTAACAAGCTGGTTGGGGCAGTGAGTATGTTTGTTGTTGTTAGTCTGCTCCTGCAGTGGCAATGAGGAAACGTTTCCGTTAGTGCTGGGAAACTGGAGGATAACTTGGAACTTAATGAAGTGAAACAGGATTGCATTTTGCTCAGAGTGATCCTATTATGCCTCAGTTAGGGCCATGTTATTGCTCACCTCAAATCGTTTGCTGTTACTGTTTTTTCACATTTGTTTTTTTAGCTATACGTGGGCCATTATGTGTTTTTGTTTTATATTTTTTCAGTTGTATTATTTTTAGTTTTTAGTTTTCCATCTTTTGCAGCAGTGTAACAGAAGCTCTATTTAATGGAAGGTTTCTCTGGGCTTAGAGGTTTCCATGTTAATGCCTTTAAAATTCAATGTTTAACTTCTGCCTTAGCCTCAAGCTGGAAAGTGACAATGAAAGATAGTATAGGACAGTGTGTAATTTCATTTTACAAAGTTTTATCAGAATTGATTCAACTGATATGTAAACAGGGGAAACCTCAGGAACTTTCTTTTCCCCCCAGCCTGCACATTCAGTTCAATTTCAGGCTGTACACTGTTTACCTGACAAGTGGCTTGCTACGGGATGTCTCCTGACTGATTGGATTTGCTGAGTTGGTTCCTGTCTGAAACCGTGAGGAAGGGGACTAGGACACCCCCAGGGATCCCTTCCAGGTCTGTATTCCCAGGCCAAGGTCCTACAGACCGGGCACAGAGGGGGAAGATTTTTCAGATGTTTTGGTGCGAACACAATTGCTTCCCGAGGGAGAAATTTGGCATGTTTCCTGAGAGAACCGTGCTTGCGTAAGCAGCCCCCTGCCACCCTCTGAGCTGTGCTAGTACAACCATTTGTGGGGCTGGTGGTAAATTGCACCGGGGGAACTGCAGTGGGTTCAGAAGCACCTTTTCTTCCTTTTTATCAATTACTTTGAATTGTCTGACTGTGTGGCTGCTGTGTCAGGGCTGAGAAGGTTGCCTGGAAGGAGGGAACATGTGGCAGGGAGCAGGAGGTAAGGGCTGTTTCTGCCAGCATCACTGCTGCTGAAAGAAGTAATTGCTTATCAAATTGTGGTCAGTGGGAGATGACATATGGTTAAGGCAGTTGCCTGAAAAACATAGCTGAGTGCTCAGATATCTCAGTTGTGTGCACGTGCAGTTGGCCGTATACACAAAGATCTGATTCTGTATTTCTGTTGTAATTCTGAGTTTTCAACTAATGATTTTACTTTTGTGATGTATAGCTGTATGTGTAACTTCAGGATACATTCCCTATACTATTCTCTCTTGTAGTATGAGCATTTCAAAATACTGTTTTTCTGGAAAATAGACCTACCTAGGCATCATAAGGCTATGAGTTTTATTAATAGATTATATTTACCTGGATAGGTGAATGCCTAAAATTCTAAAGAGGAAGATTAAACCTAGACCCCTAAAAGAGTGCCTCTGGTCCTAGAGAGCATAATTGTCAGCTGTACTCTCTTTTAGATGTACGTAAAATGTTAAATATACTTTTGAATGTAGTGCAGACCTGCTGTGAAATTATGAATGACAGAAATGATTAGGCAAATAGCACTTTTAATTGGTATGGTGAGACTGAGAAGTCAGTGGAGTGTAACCTTGCTATAATCTGCTATAATTTATTTTAGTCTGGAAAGCACTGACGCTTTTGTGCATTGTTTTAGGACTTGTTCTCATTCCTACTTTAGACAATTTCTTTCTGTCATGATCCTATTGTAGTGAGTAAGAAAACATTCACAACACCTTGTCTATGTAGCACGTGTGCATATTTAGAGAATGGTGGTACACTTTCTTGTTCACAGAACTTGAAGGACTAATTAGTTTCTATGACGGTCTTTATTCAACAGAGAAAAATCATAGGCCTTTTTTCTTCCAACCTAAACCAAGAAACTGTATGGGAGTTCAGAAGAATATCTTACCTTTACTGATTGTCCTGTGGTGGGTCACTACAACTGCAGTTTGGATTATCTGTAGAGTCTCATGTAGATTTAAAAAAACAGATTAAAAATTAAAAATCTTCATTTTATCATTTTTTTCTAAGAGGAAAGGTGTTTCTTGCCAGTAGCCTTATGAGAGCCAAATACATATTTTATGAGCTATATTGTTGCTTTTATTAATTGACATACATTGATGTGACTATGAGCAGTAAAACTGCAAGCTACAGCTTGCCTGCAGGAGGTGGGCTCCCAACCTGCAGTATGGAGAGATTTGGAAAGGTACAATTTTTAAAAACCAAAATGTAGACATCCAAGCTAATAACTCAGTTTTTCTTCACTGATAATGAAGGTGTTTCCTATTCAGCTTATTGAACTGTGAAGGTAGTTTTGTTTTCCTCTCTGGAAGCTGCCTGAACTTGCTGTGATGTGGGATGTGGAAGAGCTGTACAGTCAGCTGCTCTGGATGAAGATACACAGGTGAAGACTGTCTTTTATTGGATTGGCTCCTTGTCTCTCTTAGGCTTGTAGGACTCTACAAGGCAAGCTTGTAGGACTCTACAGGGCAAGCTGTGATCTTCCAAATATAAAATCTTTGTTGTTCAGGTGCCTTATCCTCCGGTTTTTGGAAGAAGCATTCTCCATTTTCAGTACTGGAAGGTGGGTGGTGCTGTATGCCCAGCTGCTCAGATGACACCTGTCTGGCATGGTCAGACCATGGTAGCACAGCTCAGGAGCCCACAGAATTCAGGTATAGCCAGAAGGCACTTAAGTTTCTTTCCTTATACTGTAAAAGCAAAATCCATCACTTTTGTCTCCACAGCATTTTAAGCTGTGCAGGCCCCTGAGGCAACAGATCAGCATTTCAGCAGCAAGATGACTTATTAGTTGTTAAGATTAGCCAGCAATTTGTGGCAGATTTCTTCCCCAGAGCCTGCAGCAGCTGGGAATTGTAGAACTGGCTTGAGGGGATGTGACAATATATTTTATTAGTAAGTTAGGTTGATCTTAGTCTTCATTAGTGCAACTCTGTTGGTTACTTTGCATATAGTACAAATGCTACTAAATAGTTGTTTCTTAGCTGCAGTTCATTGTTGGAGAACTACAGGTTATCCACAAACTAGGATATTCTTGCTTTTCTTTGGGACTTAAAACAAATGAAACAGCAGTTTTTCTTGGTATTTGGTTTAGATGTCATATTTATTAGTTTCTCCTTGTTTCATTTGATGGGATAATGGAGTGAGAAGGCAGTAAATTAAGCAGTCTTTAGTGTTTGCTTTTAGACAGTATCACCTGTTTTCCATGGAAGGATTGTTGGTCTCTTTTTTTCCGTTTCTCATGTTTTATTGTAAGATGATTTTGTGGGCTTTAGTGTGAATGCTGTCTCAGAGCATTATGTAAATAACAGAGAAGAATGAAGCAACTGTATTTTTTTATGTGTGTTTTATGTCTTATCTATGTGGAGGATGTACACCCACACTTATATGCACCAGGATTACATAGGCTTACGTTTTGCATCAACTTGCAAGTTGCTAATGCATTTAAGTGAATAGGATTAAAAATTAATGTAAAAACAAGGCATCTGAGATAATCTAGGCTTCTTTTACTATTAAATATTATTTTTTTTAACTTTTCTGGTTGTCACTAGAATCTATTCAGTTTCTAGGGAATATTGTCCTTGAATGCTTTTTGAATGGTAAGTACATTCGTTGCTGCCAGAGGATTGTCATAAGTGTCTAGAATTAATGATAATGGGCAGTCCTAGACCATATGTAGATATTTATTTATAATGCACATTATCGTTCTTTTAACTTATTAACAGGTAATTTATAGAGAACCAATTTGTCACCCTTCTCCTTCCAACTCTCCAAGCTTTTTGTGCAATCTGTGAGTGTCTGAAAATTACAGATTTTCCTTCTACTAGATGAGAGCTGACCTGTCCATGTCAGGACAAATGTCTCTTCTGGTCTTGCCATTTGATAATACTATCAAAATTGTATCCATATCTTGCCAAGAGTCATGACCAAACTTCTGGGATTCCTCAGCTATCACAGTTTGCCAGTCTGCTTGCCTACATACACCATTTATACTTCATTTCTTCTGGGATAGCAATGTATCTCATGTTTGGAAGCTTCTCCTAAATTCATTTAAAAGATTAGGTAAGAGTGCAAATGAAAATATGGTAAAAGAAATTTCAGTTCTTCATTACAAAGTCAGATAGGAGACAAATAGAAAAAGAAAATGTTTTATTTGGATATTTAAAAAATCAAAGTCATTTCTCAGCCATTGCAGAAGATTCTAGAGGCAAGTTTTGAGTACAAAACCAGAGATGATGTTTTAGCTAGCAACCACCAAACTCCTGCATCCCCTCTTCTGAATAAGACCTAAAAGTATTTTTGAAGTTGGGAACTCAGCTCCTTGTCTTCAGTCCTCACCAGGACAGTGCTGACCTCTTTCTATCCCTTTGTTCAAGATAGGAAGTCTCCCGTCTTTCACTTTGCCCCCACCCCCCAACTCAAAGCTTCCTTCCTTCCTGCAATTTCTGGATTTCTCCCAGTGATGGTGGGATGATTCACATTTCCCAGATGTGAAATGTCAATGTGGAAAGTGGGATCTTTCCCCTGCCTCTCTAGGGGTTTCTCAGAGTCTATGCTGCTGTCGAGTTTCTTAATTAACACGTTTCTCCTGATTCAAATGGTTTTCCTGATGGCCTCAGTGTTTTGGGGGCTGTTACACTACTTAATGAGTCATGTCTTAGAGTGTTCATTGTAAATGCATCTTAAACTTGGGTGGCTTTGAGAGCTTCTTGAAGACCACACAAAAGTTATTAATTTAGTCTGTAGACATAGTCAAATACCTTCTCCTCCTCCTGTCTGTTTTAGGGCTTGTCTTTTCAAGTTGTCATGTTTCAATATCAAGCTCTTTTGACAGAGGGGTGTTTAAAGCTTGTTCATGCAACTGCTGGTTGGTGCACAGTTGAGAAGGTGGTAGTACAGGGCTGTGCTGCTTGTCTGTGGTCACTGTCCTGGCTCCTCTCTGCTAGGTGTTCATTTGCTGATACTGCAGTGGACTGTGAATTCCATAGTTGCATTACTCCTGTGCCTTCCCCAAAGTACCAGAGTATTTGGTTTGGTAATTTCTTGACTTTGTGTTTATTCCTCTCCTCCAGAATCCCCTGTAATCAGCCCTTCAAGCTCATCACCTTTATTTCCCCATAAAAGTCACTAAAATATCAGGGAAAGGAGGAGTTAAAATAGGAAGAGTCAAAACCAAAATGGTTCCATGTTCAAGACATGTGCCAGCTTCACCTTTCTGCCACTGAAATGCTGCATCCAGTCTCTCAGCAACTGAAATTTCCTGGGCCAGGGGCATCACATTCAGCCTTGCCTATACAGATGTGCCTTGGTGTCAGTGTTCAGTAAATATCCACAGTTGCTTTTAGAATGTGTTGCAGCACTGAACTTGGTGGGAATAGAGGCTTCCCTTTTCATCATATGGGCTAACTGCTGTGAGTTGGCCCTTAAAGAATTGATTTGATGTGCTGTTGCCGTTTGAATGTGCTGTTGTTGTTACACTTCTCATTAGCAGCAACATTTCTGGTAGTTCACATTCCTTTTTTTTTTGTTTGTTTGTTTTGAAACACTGCAGCCTTCCAGATACACTCCTGTCAGTTTGGATAACAAGCCACTGCCTATCTGTTCTCACCATGATCGTGTCCTGTGCTGCCACATGTTCCTGGAGAGTTCTCTCACTATTGATTGTATATCTTGGCAACTCTGCATTCATGCAAACATTCCCTAAAGTTACACTTTTTTACGTAAAAGCTTGAAAGCTACACTACCTCACCTGCTTAATCTAACAAGCCAAAACTACTTGTTTCAGCTAAAGACCAGAGGTATTTGGGAAGCTTCTTCATAAAGTGCCCTCTGTTTGTTGACTTCCTTTTTCTCTCTTTCTAAACTTCTGTAATAACATTCCTTTATTTACTTAATCTGCATGGTCCTTGGGGCAGCCATAGCGTGATACCACCAGCAGCAAGCCAGAGTGCATTTTTTGAA